GAAATAAAGCTAACTGCTTGTGTTTGCTTGTAACTCTCCTGCCTTGTGTTTACTTGGAAGAACCACCTGTTTGGTATTGTACATCTATTCATCTATTCTTATGTATATAAAGAAGTTAATGAATCCAGCCAAATCAATTATCTGTGTGTGCTTTCTAGGTTTGAATTTATGCAACAAATTCTGACACATCTCACTTAGCAAAATAAATTCTGGTCTCAATTATGATTGTACCTCTCTTTCAGAGCTAATTCTAGCTTTCTTCTTGTCCTGTTGGAAACCAAGGCATTTATCTTTTCATGCCTCGTGAAAATCTTTTGGGAAGGATGATTTACACCTGCTCAAAAGTCACTTACCTTTTTAAATACTTTTCCATTTGGCTGCATTTCATTCTCTTCGCTCAGGACCTCTCTTGTTCCCAGACAGTCTTTCTTCCCAAACTTTGTCACAGCAAGTTCAAACAATTTGTCCAGTGTGTCCACTCCAGGAAAGTCTATATTGGCTAATGATTCCATATGCGAAATGGACCGATACGGACTTCCGGGGCTGTCGGAGACGGGCTTAGCTTTTAAGCGCTTCGCCATAGCTTTTTTCTTCTTAACATTTGTAAGAAAATACCAGGGTATGAATACAAGGGCACTGTACACATTTATCAAAAAATACAGGGGGAACCACACAAGGGTCCACAGTCTTTCTTTAAGATTCATAATGGACGGCTTTCTTTTTCTTTTAGATCTGCCAACTGTCCTTTTGGGGAATCCAAGTTTCTTAAGTTTTTTCCCCCCTCAAGGAGGAAGCAGTAGCAGCAGGCAGCAGCAGCAGACAAAAGCAGAAACGAAGGCTTTAGATGATTGAAGATTAGAAGAATCGCTAAAGGGTTAGAAACGATCAGCAACAATCAGCAATAAGCAGCAGCAAATTATTTGAAGATCACGGCTAATCAGAGAGCATTAGAAAAACAGCAATAATTTGTTAGCTTCAGTCTTTGATTGGCTTCATTTCAACATGCAGCTGGACCCTGGACATTCAATGGAGCAGTTCTGACATTTGTAAACAGTGTCATTGAATTTAAATCACTGCATCGGAAAGAAGCATATTTCTTCAATGGATCTTTGCCCCACTCTAAATATTTAGGAGAATTAGGTAAACATTTTGCTCTTTAAATGTTATGCTTTTAATCCAATTTGACAATATGACCATTACATCATTATGGTCAAAAGTCCATGGATTTTCCCCACCCCCACAAAGGGCTAACAAAGATTTAGTTAAGGCTGTTTATGATTCCGACAAACATTCCTCTTTGTTGGTTATTGGCAGGATTTTTGTTATTGTAAGGGAAATGGTGTGTTGCAAACTTAAGAAATCTGTTAATTATTACACAAATTATTTAGTAAGTTAATTTCAGCCGACTTTTTTTTAAATTGCATCCTTCTAAGTAAATGTTCAAGGCAGCTCAAACGAAAAGATTAAAGTTAATAAAAAGGCAGGAAGACAAGACCTTCAGCACGAAGAAAAAGACAAGGGTTGGATTAGGAACATTGGAATCAATGTCAATATTTATAATGTCAAGATGATCTATTTTCAGCCCTCTGCCAATGATCAATGTATTTCATGTTGTCAATATTCAGAAGAGGAAGCCTCTGAAAAGGAGGACATGTTATCTAGAACTTTCCCCTAAACTGGGTAATCAAATGGACAGGGGGAGGGGAGGGAAATAAGCTATTTGTCAACTATTACTTCAATCTAATGCTCTCCAGAGTTTTTCGACTGTAATTTTCATAATTCCTAAGGACAAGGCAAAACATCTGGAGGGCACATATGACAGGAAGGCACTTCCAGGGGGAAACTGTAATGAAGCTCAAGAAATATTTTAAGCACTGTTTTAAAGTCTAGGCAACCAGTTCCATCTTAAAATACTTACAGGTTGCAGCCTGGATTCTTCCCATCCCAATAATGAAATATGGTTTGTTTTAGTCTTCTTCTGAGTATTGAGGTTGTTTACTAGTTAAAAATAACTAACTTATTTTTGGCACAACAGCAGATTTATATATTTGGTTACAGTGCCCAAATTATTGCATTAACCATTAACACCCTGTAAGTTTCCAAGGGGACTTCAGTGATTGGCCTTCACTGAAAACAACGACATGAGATTTAAATCCCAGCTACTGGAATGAAAAGTCTTTATTCTTAATTGTGCTTAATCATTCCAAGTATTTGTCAGGTGAGAGAGGGACCACATGCTAAGTTCCAGTTATGTTGATTTATTGCTCATGCCTATACACAAGAATCTAGTCAACTAAAGGTCAGCCTTAAATTGGCACTAGATAAGAATTAATGTAAGGGGTTAGATTTAGACCATTTGTGGGAACATAAGGACTCCAGGATGATTCCTCTCTTGACTCTGCCCCCAGAATCTGCCTGCTATTCTCTTAGAGTAGCTCCTTACATGCTATTTTGATAATGTTTTCCAGTTTGTTCAACACCCCAGAAGCAGATTTCACATGAAGAATATGCACAGAAAAATGTTAATATTACAATCAATGCTTGACATAACACATAACACAAAGTATTATCTAAGAATAAAGCGCTTAAGAGTTTCTGAAAAAGCAAAATGTGCAAGAATACAATGATTCACAGAATCAGCTCCAAATCAGCTTCCCGGCCCATTCATTTGGATTGATAAGCAGCAGCTCCCAGACAGACTCAAATCCTATTTTAAAACATCCTATTTTCTTCATCATTTCCCCAAATTAGAAAACACAATATATTACATTGATATGTTCTGCAAAAGCAAGACTGCTGAGTTATA